TGTGTGTGTGTGTGTGTGTGTGTGTGTGTGTGTGTGTGTGTGTGTGTACATAGGGGTAAGTGTCGATATGTGCGTGTGAACACGTTATGTGTGTGTACGTGTGGGCGCGTGTATGTTGTTGTTGTGTGTGAGCGTGACTGCTGGTGTATGAATTTTAGTAGGTAGGTCATCGGCCTCAACATATCAGTTATGTGGTTACTGAAAGTACTCCAACTCACTAGCCCTACGACACGAGGACTTGGGATCAAAATAAATTCAAGTAGTGAGCAGTGCCATACCTAGATTGAATGAGCATAGTTATTCTACATCGTTAGTTTGTATAGATATAGACACACATCATTCAGTTTGTATACATATAAGCACATGAGTTTCAACCAAATCGATTCTTTAATTGCAGACAGTTACACAAATCGTTAACAGATCCGTTCTCAATCGAATCAATCTAAGTGAATAGTAATAATAGTAACATAAGAAGACTGGTGAAAATGTAACAATCTTCGTTATAATTCTAAGGTAACAATAATTACCACAGCTTTTAAAAGTTGAAAGTGAACGATCAATTCGAATCATCGTTCGACAAGCGGGAAGGCTTTAACTTGTCGCTCGCCAAAACATTCTCGTAAGAACGATCACAAGTGTTTGTACTCTTAAGAATGTATGACGAATGCATGTGGCAGAACCTTCGTAATAACATGAGGATCGTCAAAACGAGGCATTAACTTCTCACTACAGACTCTCGCGAATGATTTTAAGGTCAGCTAGCAGCTCGTAGGCGAGCCTTAAACGACCTTCCTACACCATATCATAAGTCTTGTGGTAATTCACGTGACCACTGTAATCATGACATGCCTGTGCATTGTACAAATGACCAACCGATCTCCGTGGTACGTGGTTACTTAACAAATCATTATTTTCGAATATGTATTCGACTCTGTGTGTAGTATGCGTATAGTTTGTGTATAGTATGTGTATAGTAATGTGTGAATATGTAGTCTCAAACCAAATCACGTATATATTGTTCGAGGAGTCGCTGTCCCTTTGTAACATTTCAATTAAATCTTTTTCTACACAACATACGACTGTACGTACGGGGTTACGACTCAGTACCTCAACGTGCGCCATTAACTTGCCTGCTCGATATTCAATATCAAAATTATAACTCTGTACCTCGAGCCATCACGTAGCTGCACGAGACGAGGGTGTAAAGTCTCGCTTGGTCCATATCAAATGCAATTAATGACAATCCGTTATGATGGTGCAAGTTACACCGCCGATGTATGTACACCTTAGATTTCTGTAGACTCATAACATAAAACTCGTAACTATGATTTTGTGTTGTATTGTTGCTCAGCCGGGGCAGTTTGCCTGCTAGAATAAGCCACGGGTTTCCAAAAGTCGTCGAAACAAACCGAAGCAGACTTTAGTAAAGAAGGATTCCATCCAAACCAATTCTGGAGGCAATATCTGTACCTGGATTTGGACTGAACAGCGCCAATACGGAACGACTAACTAAAATTAATTTAAAATTGTCGAATGCTTCTTGTTGACTTTAGCTCCAAACGCATGGTTGATCCTTCTAAATTAGTAATGTGATAGATTGTGCAATAACTGCATAGTTACGCACGTACTTACGAAAACAACTGATGACTCCCAGGAACTGCCTGGCCTTTGCACACTCTCGGGCGCCTTGAAATCACGTACAACATTCAACTTGTGCTGGGCAGGCCTTACCTCGGCATTACTCACCTCGTGATCCAAATATTCAACAAAGGACACCAGAAGAGAGCATTTGTACTGGCATTGTCTCTTGTTACATCTCCTGTTATACCATGTTTTAACCAAATAAACGAATTATTATTATTACTTTGGATATCTATTTTAGATTCTCGCCTGTCACATGACCTAAAACATAAATTATTATTATGTGTTTAATCTAAGTCATTCTGACCTCTCAGATTCTCTCCGTCCCGTGTGTCGGCGATGCTTTCAGCAAAAATAAGAACGTCATCTAAATAAGCAATTGCAAACTGAAATTGCCTAACACGTCATCCATCGCCCTCTGAAAACCGAAAGGGGCATTGGCCAAACCAAATCTTAATTAGTGCACTAATTACACAACTTAGTACACAACTTACTTAGTGCACGATAATCAACGCACATCTTCTTTGACACGAGGAGAATTAAGCTGACATAAGGTGAATTTAATACCTCTATACGCTTGACTAGTCGCATTTATGACTTACCGACCTTCAACTCTAATATAAATAATCAAATCTAAAGCAATAATAATAATAATGTCATGATCTCTGTAAAACAATCTAATTCTTTACCATAAACAAACCTCTGTTTCGAATTCTCAGTCTTATCCGAAACGATGCTCGAGACCTCGGTGCAAGAAAGTACAATATTGTTGATGTTGCAATTGGATGTCCTCGTGTATACACAGCCTAACACTGTTACTCGTTTTTTTTTTTATACAGTTATTTAATAATTTCCGAAAATAATTTACATTACATATTTTTGAAGAGGTAGGTGTCTATACCATGTAGACGTTACTAAACTCTGTAGAGTTAACCAATAATTAAGCCCAACGTCCTGATTTTGATTCAAATCGGAATCGATCCGATCAGATAGTCATAAAATCAGATGCGTTTCTGAGCGAGAAGATGAACCTGATTCCTACTATATCTTTCTAAAAGTTAAGTCAACTACTGTTCCGAATATTTAGAAATTTAGAAAGAATTGTTAGAAATGTCAAAAGTTGTGAATCGCAACTATGCGCCTCGACTCGTTAAAGACGCAGTCTCCGATCGGGAGAGGCAATCAAAATCAAGCTGCAGATCCTGTGCATAATCGGGAACAATATATATACAATATACGCCTATTATAACATAATGCCGTCCCATGTGGCATCGTCCACCACTAGCTTTTGTCAAGGTCAAGCCTAAACCGTGTTATTTGTGATCCACCTAAGACCTTAAAGACATTTATTTACGCCATTATATTATATTATATTACATTAACATAATGCCATAAAATTACACTTTCGGTAATACGAGTAGTTACACATGACTACCAAAGTATTTCAAAAATCAATTATGCATGAGGTACCTACCAAATTTCTTCAAAAATCAATAAAGCAGTATAACAATACCTAACATTAAACCAGTCAGTTTAGCAATACCTAACATTAAAACTGGTTTGTGATTTACCTGAGCTGTCGTATAGTACTTAAAAAACCACTGGATGCATCCTGAATGACGTGCAATGTATAATATGTCTATTGTGATGTAGCCGTATTCACGGCGGAAGACCTACGACTCTTTAGTTTTAAGCATTCTTCTTTAATATGTTTGTGTTTGCATTTTATTGCAGTAAGAACACTTGCGCATTTTTAGGAAACAATTATTTTCTTGGTGACCCTTTCTGCCACAAAAAGTACAAGCTGAAGTTAATTTATCTCGAATTTTATATGTACAACGAGCTGCAATACCTATACTATATACCTGTTTTACAATTATGACACTTGACATGACTTTCGCTTTTTGTATGATAACATGGGCCAACATACCGCTGAGTAGCACGCATAGTTAAAATCTATATATGCGTAGTTGACCTCAAAGACGACAAATAATTTAAAAGTTTGTTAGGGTCCGTACAACCCGCGGACACCGCGCCGACCTCTACAAGGTCGCTACCGATGGTCCCGATAATTGCTTCAGTTATCAAAGGTGGCGGAATGCCGCAAGCATTCCCCAGCGCCAACTTGTCATAATAAAAATGTAAATAGTCGATATCGGATTGTCTGACAATATTCACTAAATCGCGCATCATACCTATTTAGTTTAATCTTATGAGACGGAAAGGCAGTTAAGAGTTTTAATTTTAAATCTGACCACGATGAAATCTTTTCACTCGCAGACTCGCAGGCAACTGATCGTACCACTGGCGTGCGTAACCTCTTAACTTCGACAAGCAATTAAATATACTGTCTTTTCGTCCCAACTGTACATACTGGCTATTCCTTCCACTTTTATTATACATTATGTACAGTAATCATAGACGTCGGTAATCATAGGGGTCGAACTCAGATAAAAGATCATTGCGACCGATATACCTAACCGGCGGCATATTAATTGAACTTTCCACATACCCTGATCGTCCAATACCAACAAGACCTGGGGGCGCCGCACGCGCTGGTGTAGTGCTACTTCCCGCGGTCGACGGCGGCGGCACTCCGCCCGCAGTCGGACACGGGGGCAAGGGGCGGCGCAACCGCCACCGCAAGCGCACGCAGTGGCGCGCACGATAGCCGCGATGACTCGAACAGCGTGATCGGCTGACGAATAGTGTCGGGCTCGGGAATAACTCCCAACACACCTCTTCCACTACAGACGGGGCTCTGGGGGCAGGCTTAAATAGGATTACTCTAAGAGCTCATAGTAGGCTCCCTGATCAACTCGTTGAACTGACGCAAACCAGCCCGGAGGCAGTGGCGGCTGGAAACCATCACCGTTCACCGCGCCCGCGCGCGGCTTCGGCGACTGCAGGATGTGGACATTTTACCGATCACCGGCGCTTGCGACAGGTCTTAACCTGTCCCACGAACTGAACACCGTCTTCTCCAGTTCCTATAGTCGTCTCGCTACACGACTGGTCTCCAATTCCAGCAACGATTGTCGCCGGAGCCGGTTTTCGCGATCCGCGCTTGAATCTCGACTTCTGTCACCTTGGGTGACCACAGCTCATAACTCACACAATGCACGAAGACACAGAGTAATTTATTATGTAGTGAAACGACCGACATATTTTAATTCACTCACAATATGTTTAACACGCGGCCCAGCGCACTTAGTGAAAAAACATGGCGGCGAAAACGAAACACGATCTAACATGTAAACACTGATTTTATAATTCTTATTCTTGTGGGAATGTTTCATCGCACTTCTGAACTGTTGGGAATATTACGAATCACAATTAAACACCGACAATAGAATACACACTTAGTTTATTCGTAAGGCCTACATATTATAGTATGTTAACATCAAAAGCCGCGCGGTCGGAGCGCGGCGGGCGGAACTCTATACAACACGTACAAACGCTGGGTTGCGGACGCGCGAACTGAACGTAGGCGGAGATCTGTCGCTGGCGCACGCCGCGGTGCGCATGCGTAGTGAGTGTATCATGGCTTGTGTAGTGGCTGCGCGCAAACGTGTCCTTATAATAATATAAAAAGGGTGATTAGAAGGGTTACATTGTACAGGATTTTGAAACCACATTTAGTGGTAAATAATAAATTAGTTAAATCATTGGATGGTGCAGTTATAGTAGCTTGTGGTTTTTTTTTGTGGTTGTTTTTTTATTAATCTACAATCACCCATTCTTCGAAATTGTTAACATAACTTTATACTGGGCTGGAGATTACAATTTCTGAAGATAATCATGAATTTAGTCTTCTTTTACGTTCATTTTAAGGCCAGCCTTCAGACAATCTAGTTATTACTTGAAATATTTCAAATATTTGTATAACTTCTCAAACCCAACGATTGTTTGGAAGAAATTGCTTTTAGCAATAGCGCCGCCTATTGTACTTCATTATTTACGTGCATCTTCACTAATGTTCCTTTATGCAGTAAAGAATATTTGTATTGTATTGTAAATCTTCTGATCAGAACTATTTCACTAGAAATGACTATTAGGTGGGTTAGTAAAAGATTTGTCTACTTTATTTTAGTAGAATCTAACAATTTCTCTAATAAAATTTTTTTTCCCAAAAGCATTCCCCTTCTTTTATTAATTTTTGGACATATGATCTGTCGTAATACAGCCAGTCTTTATAAGAATTTTTGTTTGTTTCAAACTTAGCTACTACAAACAGAGCTTTCTTTTTGCCTGTAGCATGCATTTGCAATTGAACTTAGGCTTTGTATTTGTCATTGATTACATTGTCTTTTACGTAGTTCGACATCGATTTTTCAGTGAATGGGCATTTAATTTCAACAACAAAAGCGTCTACCACTCCATCTGGTGAAGCTCCAATAAAAGGTGTAATTAACAGTAACCCACAACTTGATATCTTAAGTTTCATTTCTAATTTCAGTGTTTTAGTACTTCAACTTCTAAATGTTTTCCACGTTAAATGGCGTTTGTTTTTGGTACTTTATATCCACCTAGTATGGTTTTCACAAGAACTCCATCCGTGTTGCATCTAGTGGCTTCATGAATTTTCGTTGCATTTACTCTACCCTTTCTTAATGTGTGCCATAGTTTACTATTTGTTTGGCATCTAGTACTTTCTTCTATTTCTTTTTTTACTTGTGGTGTTATTTTTTCTTCAGCAAAATGTTCAATATTCTCATTGCTTAATCCCTCTGAAGGGTAAGTTATTCTGAAGTCGAAAATTAAATTAAATAGGCTATATGTATCCGGCGTTATTTTTTTCACCATATAATTTGTCATTAAACGGTCATTTATTTTTGTTTTTTTGCATTTTGCCAACAGTGGGTTTAAAGTTGGGATCGCATTTGCAGACATAGGAATTTGCCTAGGCCTCTTGAGTCTCATTTCCTTGGACAGAACAAACTTGTCTTTCATGGCGGCTTGGGATAGTTTAGGGCGCGACCAATAACATGCAACTGAAGTCACTGCCGGCTCCTCCGTACGTTTTATAAGCCACATAAAAAACTTATAGAATTCTTACATCCACCAGCACTAGCTGCACAATCTTCGCATTTGGAGTGTATTATTATCTCTTCAGACTCATTTATGCTTGCAACTACAGTGTATGGTTTACACCGGATTCTGTGCTCTGGTTGCACGGCGCACTTTACGGTACAAATTGCATTGTCTCGTTTTAATTGTACAAATCCAACAGAGGATTCTACGTACGAATCCCTAGACGAAAACCAGCATTTTGGCTCCGCGAATTTCTGCAATATTATATGACTCGTTTTCTTGCATGTACTGCAATAGCTTCAATAAACCTTTTGGTAGGTTTTGGCTATCTGCCACGACAAATCCATCCGTAATTTTCATATTTTCAGGTATATTTTCACAAGAATCGCAAGTAAGCAATCCTGATAACCGCGTACGCTCCTCCACAAACAAAAATCAAACATCAATCAGCAAGACATTTCTGTCACTGATTGTTTTTTAAAGAGCTTAAGACTGCGACAGACACTTCTAGGAATCCTTCAGGGGTACTTACGACGTTTTGGAACAAGCAACTTTTCAAAAATAAAAATAAAATACTTAAATTAAAAATTAGACAAACTAAAAAAATACGTGTCCTTTAGTATAAGAAAGAAATCGAAAACTCTTAAGAAACTAAAATCAGAAAAATTAAATTTACACAAGGACAAGGTGAAGATGGCCGAACAAGTGAAAGATCTAGAGTTAGATCTTCAATCGCGAACTAAAGACCTACTTTCTACGCAGAAACAACTAGAAGAACTTTCAGCTGCAACTAATGAGCTTTTAAAGCTGGGTACTGAGTATAGAGAACTTACTCAAGTCCTTCTTCACGATGAGCTTAGTGAAACAAATGGTCCAGTAGAAACAAATCAGACTCCGTCCCCACCACCCACATCATCAACGCAACCAACACGTGCATCGTATGCCAGCGTTGCTGCAGGAAAACGTGTCTGCTCCACTACAACTGTTGAAGTTCGACACAGTCAACGGTCAACCAAGACTATTAGAACTCCGACCAGGCCATCCAGAAGAACGGTAGTTTTTTCTGATAAAATAGGCGTAGGACTAGGCCACCACCTTAGTAACCACTTAAAACAAAGGGTAGTCAACTATTGCTATCCAGGAGCTACTTTTAGTCAAATTATTACACTGTTAAGTGATTGCAACTTTGATAAATATACAACAGTGATTCTTATAATAGGTGATAGTACTAACATTAGTAAAAAAGAAGTAAATAGTAGCATTGACGTGTTCTTGAGAATTCATGAGAAGTGTGGGTGTAAATTCATACTAAGTGCATTCCCTTACTGCTCTAACCTAGGCATCGCTCGTAATAAGTATATATACAACATAAATTCGCACATTCATAATTTGACTTGCCGTCATAGTGACGTTATATTTTGTTTTGATATTAATAAGTTCGTAAGGAACTTCAATCTTTTTGAGGATAATTTACTTTTACCCCTAAGGTATCTAAGACATATAGCTAGTTTGCTATCTTTTAATATTAAGGACGCTGTTATAGAAGATATAACACAGTCCCACGACAATGCTCCTACGTTAAGTAGCAACAGTATACTTTTTAATAAGCATAATTTAAACTGAAAAACACGACAACAGAAAAGTCTAATCGTTTCCATGTAGTACATCAAAATATTCAAGGCTTTTCTGGCAAAACATTAGAAATAAGTCTTTTTTTGCACGATATTTCCGTTGACGTGTTTTGTGTTACAGAACACTGGCTGAAAGATTACGAAGCCATTAACAATATAGAAAATTATGTAATAGTCAGTTCGTTCATAAGAAAGAGCTTAAGTAGAGGCGGATCCATGATTATTATTAAGCGTAACTTAAAATTTAAAGAACGTAAGGATATCACAAATCTTTCTACTGAACGAACTATTGAGATTTCATGTGTGGAATTGGATCAGTTTGTCGTCTTATGTGTGTACAGGCCCCCCTCTGCTAATTTTAACGAGTTTGAATTAATTATGGAAGACAGTTTAAAGCGGATTTTTCCAACCAAAAAAAACGTAGTAATATGTGGAGATTTCAATGTAAACCTGTTGGAAAACTGTTCTACTTCTGTAAGACTCATTAATTTATTTCAAAGTTTTAACTTGATTAATCTTTTTTTAGAACCAACTCGCATGACTGCCTCCTCTTCTACTTGTATTGATAACATCTTTTGTAACACAGACGCAGTGTCTAAATCAATAATTAATTGCTTAAGATCCGACCATAGTGGCCAATTGGCTTCTTTTAATTGTAAAATGAGCAAGAAGGTAGACCAATTTCTCTGCAGACCGATTACCACAGAACGAATAATTAGATTTCAAAATAATATCGGCAATAGTTTAAATTCCCTATCCCATATACCGGAGGATCCAAATGCTTTATATAACACGATATTTGGTTTAATTAAAAATTAATTTGACAATATATTTAAATCGAAAACATTAACTTTCCATAGAGAGACTAAATTCAACGACTGGGCAACAGTAGGTATTCATAAGAGTAGGTCTCGTTTGTATGAGCTATATGCTATGAAAACTTATAATAATAATTCCAATTTTATAGAATATGTTACAATTTATTCGAAAATATTTAAAAAAGTTTGTGTAGCTGCTAAGGTTAAGTTTCACAGCGACAAAATTAGACAATCGATAAATAAATCTAAAACTACTTGGAGCATAATAAATAAAGAGTCAGGCAGGGTTAAACTACACGATAGAGATATAGTTTTAGAATTAGACAGCAAACTTATAAAATCTAAAGATAAAGTAGCCCAAGCTTTTGAATCGTTCTTTTCGGAAATTGCTGTGAACACTACAAAATCATTAAATTCCTCCCCTTCACTTGCTATTGATCTCCTAAAGGAAAATGTTAACGTTTGTGGCAGTTTATTTAATTTTCGTCATGTTAATCCACAAGACATCATAAAAGCTTTTAAGTCAATACATGTTAAAAAAACTGAAGATCTCTGGGGCATATCAACTAAAGTTATAGACTCAGTTATTAATCTCATTTCCCCACAGTTAGCTGTAGCTTTCAATAGGTGCGTTGACGAAGGTGTTTTTCCCGATTTAATGAAATACAGCAAGGTTATTCCCTTATTCAAAAGCAGTAGGAAAGTTGATCCTAGCAACTATAGGCCCATTTCAATTTTACCAGCTTTAAGTAAAATATTCGAAAAGGTTATGCTAACTCAATTACTGTCCTTTTTCGGTAGGAATCATATTTTTCATAGTGAACAATACGGGTTTACTAGTGGTAGATCGACTAGCGATGCGGGGGTAGCGTTACTAAAACACATCTTTGATGCTTGGGAAAGGTCCCAGAACGCTATTGGTGTTTTCTGTGACCTCTCAAAGGCATTTGATTGCGTTGATCATAATACTCTTATTAGGAAGCTGGAACATTACGGTGTAAATGGCAAGGCGTCGAAACTTGTCTCGTCATATCTCAAGGGTAGAATTCAGAAAGTAGACATAAATGGAGTAACTT